AGAAAATTAATTAACGAACAGAGACGTAACAGTATTATAAAAGACTGCATTCTTTATTTGTTCCCTTATATGTATGTCCACAATATTCATTTCCAACGACGTGTTTCGCTCAGTACCAATTTTTGTTGGGTTTTTGAAAATGACCATTAGCACCATGTCAAATCGTTGGGTATTTTTATCTTTGTATAGTACCTTGTGTGTCTTTTTAGATAACTTAAGACATTCTATTCATTCTTTATGCATTTGTTCGGTTATCGATTGAATATTACTTACTGTTGTTTTTTAAGATTATAAAAATATAATACAACTTGAAGAACTTAAAAGTATAACACTGTAGAAAAATATCCTTTATGGTATAATTATATCCCTTTTGCTCAGTTTATTTCTACTACTTATAATATTTTTAAAATAATGTTAATTGTAGCCTTATCCAGACGAGGATAAATGAATAATGCATGCTATTCAAATCGCTTTTAAATACTTTTTATGTGAAATTTGTCTTGTATCATCATAACAAGAAATGCTTATTTAATAAATACTCTACCCTGTATATCTTTAAAAGTGTCTTATTACAGAATTTGTCGAATTTTAAGTACAATTAAGTTGTGGTGTGTCGCTTTAGAGCAGATTGTATCGGTTAGCTACTCCGGGTGCCTTCAAATCTTTGAATGAGTGAAATTTGAAAGCAAAGCATCAGGAGTAGGGATTAGATTACGACGGTTGAATAATGTACTCGGTGTAACTGTTGTTTAGGTGTGTAAACTGTAATAAGTTATTCGATCTCACCACATAGATATTGTTAAACCAAAGAGGATTGTTAATATAAGATAAGGTAAATTAATAAATAAGACCATTATTTTTATTTATTACACTAAATTTTGTTTGTAACTAAAACCTTAGGCTAAAGTAAAACAAATTAAGAGTAATAATATAATTATTAATAATACAAATATCACAGTGGTACACCGTACAGTCGGTGTTGCGAGTGATACTAATAGTAATACTAGTAATAGTATTTCATAGTTTTTTTATATAATATAGTTTAGGCTAGTAATAGTACTAGTAGTGTTACTGTTATTATTAACTGGAAGTACTTAAAGTTAAACAACTGGGTTTGAACTTTCATTATTGCGATATTATTAGAGGTAGGTGAATCTTCTAAGTTCCAATAATAAAGATATTTCCTAATGAAGTGAAAGTAAAAGAAACCCCGGTCTCATTCAGTCAATGTATAATTCGTGATTCGATAATTCACCAATTGTTAAAATGTTACTGTTACTAAGTTGGAATCATCTTCAACTAAGAGAGTTTTATTTTCCAAGAGGGTTGATAGTCTTTGGAATGGGTTGCCTTCACAACATGTGAAGGCAGTAAATTTAAGCGAGTTAAGAGAAAGCTTGATAAGTATATGAATGACAAAGGCTGGCGTTAATATTTTTTTTAAATTTATTCATTAATAGTTTTAGTTTAGTTTAGAGTATGGGTCAGTCAAGATGGACTAATAGTAATAGGTCCCATGTTGTCTTAAAGTTCAAATGGTATGTCATGTTAAATACTACAGAAATGTAGTTGCTTGCAAGTTTCACCGTTGATGTTATGGTTTATGAGTTAGTAACTCAAATTTAATACTATGATAATAGTAGTATACTGCATAGTACTCTAGTACTAGTAGTGCATCTGTTCTATTGGTGTTAGCAATGAAACATTAAAAGTAGTTTAACAATTGAGTTTCAACTTGTATGTTTTTTTATTTAATTATTGGGATTTTATAAGTATTGAATGTTCCAATGATAAAACTGATAGTAAAATCTTAAAGTATAAATCATAAATTAATATGTCACTGCTGGATTACTGTTGTGCACTAGTACTAGTAGTAATAATACTAATAATATTACTAAATTTTAGGGTCTACTTTTAGTGTTCAACTCAAGTTAATTGCATTTACGCTCTGCATCCACTGGTAATATTGCCATTTCTATCATGCATTACTAATATTATTAATATTAACTTCTAATCAGAGCAAGCTTCCTACTTAGAGCAAAAGTTAAAATTAACCTGATAAAGAGTATAGCTCATTAAATATACTTCTCTTACATTCATAATTATAAAGATTAGGATGCATTGTTTCATCAGTTGCGTACACTTGCTGTTAATGATATTTTCTACCATAAATTACATATCTCGAGAGGTTCGATCTGCTTAAGAGATTAGTCCTAAGTCCTTATGTTAAGCTAAAAATACAAAGCAATGGGTATAATAAAAGCATTGTAATAATAAAAAAAATTAGATATATTACACATTTTAACTGACACTAAATGAAATTATGAATAAAGAAATAATAGAGTATATCGTAGTTATGGAATATACAAACACGAGCTGTTAGCCTTGAGTACTGTTGTAGATTTAATGTTTATTGAACAATGTGACAACATTATAATCATGTATAAACAGAAATTCCGCAATCTTCCCTAAAATGTGATAATTGAAAACCTATTAAACAGCTCTGACAGCATAACTAGAGTAGAGTAACATACAAGATAAGTTACAACAACACATTACTGTTTAGGTATGAAGTCAAGTAAAAGGACATTCTTAATAGTTCAGCCAAAAACTAATGTTTACAAAGATACAAAATAATAGTTTTAGAGCCACAGGATTGTAATAAATTTATGATGAGAATTGTAATAATCAACAATGTCAAGATGACTAGGGTATTACCTCCTTGTTATTAAATTCATTAACAACATGTTAATGAATTGTGCCCTCCTCCACACACACATACATTTTCATAGTTAACTTTAACCTTAAGTTTGGTTGGTTTACAGAATGTAAGTTAGACACACATTTAAACATAAAAAAAAAACACGTTAGGATGTGAATTGTTTAAATTTTTCACAAATAAGTAAATAAATAATGAAAGTGACATGTAAATGGTCAGGTGTGTGGTATTTTTTTGAGAATAAAGGATGATTGTAAATTTAAGAAGTTTGACCACTATGACAGAAAACAGAGGATTATAGAAGTTTAAAGAGGGCTGGTTAAAGAGGACATTTGAGTATATGAAATAAGACTGGTTGAAAATATAAAAATTAACAGTAGGAATTTTTCTAAATATATTTATATTTAAGGTAAGAAAATTGTTAGGGTGGGACTAGACGATTTGAGGAATGATAAAGGAAGGTGTATCTCTTATGATTGAGGTGACCAAGTTACTAACATTTTACTAATGAAGATTTAAGCAGTAGTTTTCATCCTGAACAGTGCTATATGGAAACATCAAATATAATTAACCATGGCAATAATGTTAATTATGAGCTTGTTAAAAAGAAAGTTGGGAAGTTTAAACAATGATAAGGCACCTGGACCAGAAAATATTTTCCTAAAAGTTTTGAAGGAGGTTAAGGATTGAGTGTGCGAGTCACTTGCCAATATTTTTTTGAAGTCATTGAAAATTATGTATGTGCTAGAAGATTGGAAGTTACTCCCCTTTTCAAGAGAGGTGATTAAAAGTGTCCTAGTAATTATAGGTCTGTTAGTATTACATAAGTGGTGGGAAATGTTTTTAAATATCTGATGAAAGATGTTTTTCAAATTCATTTAACAAAGTTTACAATTTTGTTGTATAGTCAACATGGTTTCTCTAGAGGAAAATCTTATATTATTAATCTTTTGACATTCTTTGAAGAAGTTACTGCTTATGTATGTGTGTGGATTTAGTGTATTCTGTATTTTCAGTTAGTATATGACAAAGCTCTACACAAAAGGCTTGTTAAAAATTATCTCTACGTGTGGGGGGAGGATAAGTTGGATCATTGAATCAAAAATGACTGGATGGAAGAAAGTTGTAAATGGAGTTCAGTAGGGTACCTCAGGGCTCAGTGTTGAGATCTTTGCTATTTTGATTTATATTAGTGACATTGATTAAGAAATGGTTGATAAGTTACTTCAACTTGCTGATGATTTTAAGATCTGGTTGTGATGAGGATGATGCTGCTCTTGATGAAAATAACCTAAACAGTGTTATGGAAGAAAATGATCTTGGTTTTTGGCTGATTAATCTCATTTGGAGTATTTTGTTCAGTCTTGAGCTCCTTACCTTAAGAAGGACATTGAAATGTTAGAAAGGGTTCAAAGGAGGGCTACTAGGATTATCACTCGGATGGAAAGGTTGTCATAAGAGGACAGGTTATGATCTCTAAATTTTTCTTTAAAAATAAAGAGTTAGAGGGAATCTGATTGATGTGTTTAAGATTGTTAAGAAGATTGATACAGTCAGTACATCACCATTTTTTTACTTAACCCTTTCCAAATGGGTCACAGGTCAAAGACCATGTCATTGCGTTTGTTGACTCAT